ACTACAACCCGCGGGGAATTGAATATCGCTCGAGCAAGGCTGCATTGAATATGATGATGGTCTTGTACTGGGCACGGCTGAAGGCTGAGGGATTCAAAGTTTTTGGAGCCGACCCAGGGTTGTGTGCCACGAATTTGACCGGCGATCCCGAGTCTCTGCGGAAGAGAAATGCTGCAGACCCCTCAGAAGGAGGCCAGAGAGTGGCTACGGTGGTCAAGGGAGAGAGAGATGCTGATGTGGGGAAGGTGCTGGGAGTTTACGGAGTCTCGCCTTTCTGAGTATGCGAGGATGAGAAGGTAGTGCGGTGCGTAGTGGAATCTGTATATAACTGTCGTCATCTGACAGTCAGGCCTTGCCGATGTTCGCTGACAGCGTCAAATGAGATAGTATCTTCTTTAATATGATTCGAAGCTACCATCCAGATGATTTTCCGTCTCGTAGATTACACGAGAGCAGCATGCTTTTGCTCTAAGGGCGTGAATCATACTCTCGAGTGTCGTGCTGCAATGGTTTAAGAGTGGCCCCCATGTCTGTGAAAAGCTTAAGAACCATTCTTAAGCGAGCCTTGATGACTATGCCGACAGTTTGTGGATGCAATGCTATGCTTCAAGGACCAGGCATCGATTGCCAATAGACGCAAAACAGTAACATGGACAAACGGAAAAGAGACTTGAGGCATAGGTGCTCTTTCGGTATCACCGGTCTACCAGCAGTTGCTGAGGCTGGAATCCATCTGATGACGAGGTAGCAAGGATATCGGAAATTGCTACCGTATCTCGGAGCAATGCTGAATCTAGCCGCCCCAGATGGACGCAAGCATGTCTTAGACATCTAAAAGTCATTGGTGCCCACGTTATGACCAACGCAATGCCGGCTGGCTTACGTGCATCTATTCTGCGTCCGCAATCCATACATGTCTGACAGACAATGAGCATTGTTTTTTGTCAGTCGAGGGTGACACAGATCCTGTTCAATGGACGGAACTCATCTCATGCACCGAACTATCTGTTTTCCAACGTCTAGAGTGATTCAATTGAACCTCAGTATGACTATAATGCATTAGTCCGTTGAGCTGTCCTTGGGAATACTCCATGTTCAAGTCAATGTCTGTTGCTCACAGCCTCATTCATAAGTGCTGGGTTCATTCCTTCATGGATGAGTGTGATTGGTGGTGGCTCTGCAGTCATTCAAAATGGGTGGTACAAAGGTGATAATGTCTCATGTCTCTGTTCTTCTCTGTTGTACCAAGGAGTCGACTCGCTGTAGAAGGTTGCTTTGAGTCATTGATGATTGCCTCTTGGATAGGACGTAAGTGAGCCTGGCACTGATCACATGTATATTACTCTTTTAGGCAGGCGTGCTTTCTTGATGAGTCAATCTGCCCGATTTGCACTAGCGCAGAGCGGGGTGGTCGGCGGTGAGAGAGTTTGGAGCGCATAATCCAGCGAGGTGCTAAAATCTTCCAGCAATTATATTATGCCACCATCACGAATACCCCTCGTTGTCAATTCCCAGTTCTTCTTACGGCGTTTCAGTCGGTCGTTCAGGATGGAAAGTCGCCAACAACCTCCGTGGCAGCAGCCGCCCGCGCGCCCCGACGCCCGTCTCCCTCCTCTCAAAGTATGGAACTCTTTGACCAGATCCAAGACTCCTTTCGTGCCCTTGGATCCCGAAGGACGTAAGGTCAAGTGGTATGCTTGCGGCCCAACTGTTTACGACGATGCGCACCTCGGCCACGCGCGAAACTATGTCAGCACCGATATCCTACGACGTATCCTTAAGGACTACTTCAACTATGACGTGCAATTTGTTATGAACATCACCGATGTTGACGACAAGGTATGAGCCACCGCGGTAGGAAGGATGCTTGAGGGATTGGCGTGACTGATGGCCACAGATCATCCTTCGCGGTAGACAACAACATCTATTCAACAAGTATATCACGGAACATCCGACTATTACCCCCGAAGTCCTCGAGACTGCCCGATCGGCATACAGCGCCTACATCAAGAAGAACCTCCCTCTGATCAGCCCGGACACGAAGCCTGAAGATTTTACTGCGGAAGTCGACAAGGTTTATGGAGTGGTCCTCAAGGGCGGCTCGTTGGAGGCAGATAAGAAGCCGGGAGATGCGGAGACTAAGATCAAGATGCACGTTAAGACCGCGACGGCGTCATCTTCAGCCATCGCGGATGCCGCGAAGAAGCCCGAGACACCGAGCCAGGCTTTCTACGACGCCACACAGGATGTGTTCTGCTACTACCTTGACATCACCCAAGGATCCACGATTCCCGGCGATGCGTACGAAATCTTCACGAAGCTCACGAAGAAATACGAAAACCACTTTATGCGCGATATGAGAGATCTGAACGTTCTCGATCCCGATGAGATCACAAGAGTTACCGAGTATGGCCCACAGATTGCGGACTTTGTCGAAAAGATTGTTTCGAATAAGTTTGGGTATGTGGCCTCGGACGGCTCTGTTTACTTCGACATTAAAGCGTTCGAAGAAGCCGGCAACCACTATGCCCGACTGGAGCCGTGGAACAGAAACAACCAACCTCTGCAGAGAGACGGCGAAGGTGCCCTGTCCCGGGCAACCGAGAAGAAGTCGCCCGACGACTTCGCTCTCTGGAAGTCGTCTCGACCTGGTGAGCCTAGTTGGTCCAGCAAGTGGGGTCAAGGAAGACCCGGGTGGCACATCGAGTGCTCTGCTATGGCATCGAGCTGCTTAGGAAGCCAGATCGATATCCACTCGGGTGGTATTGACCTTGCTTTCCCCCACCATGATAACGAGCTTGCTCAGAGTGAAGCCTACTGGCACGAGCACAAGCACCAGTGGGTCAACTACTTCCTGCACATGGGCCACCTTTCCATTGCAGGCTCTAAGATGTCCAAGTCCTTGAAGAACTTCACTACCATCAGTGACGCGCTTAAGCGAGGTGATTACACTGCTCGCAGTCTGAGAATCGTTTTCCTGCTGGGTGGCTGGCGCGACGGAGTCGAGATCACGGATGAGCTGGTCAAGAGCGCCTCGTCATGGGAAGAGAAGGTCAACAACTTCTTTGTTAAAGTCAAGGATCCTTCCACATACCAGACTTCCGCTACCGATGCGGCATCTACCGAAACATTGACACAGGCCCTCAAGTCCACCCAAGACAAGGTCGATGAACACTTCTGCGATTCCTTTGATACCCCCAGAGTTATGGCTGCTATCTCTGAACTGGTTACCACTTTCAACTCGCTTGATATCCAGACGCTGGAGCCCCAGGCCATTGAATCCACTGCCAAGTGGGTGACACGGATTGTGACCATTTTCGGTCTGAACGGGGCTACCCCGGTGGACAAGTGTGAAATCGGCTGGGAGGGTACCGATGTTCCTGAGGTGGCAAAGCAGTACTTGTACCCACTTTCCACCATGCGTGACTCTTTGCGCCAGGCTGCCATGTCCGGAAACCAGATCACATCAGACAAGGTCAAGGAGATCATCGGCGCAGCAGCAGTGAAAGATGCAGACACAACCGAAGCCGCCAAGCCATACTCCCAAGCTCTAGAGTCTTTCAGCTCCCAGCTCGCATCGTTGAGCCTTGAGGACTCCAAGAGCTCTTCGAAGGAGATTCTTTCCCTCTGTGACCGTTTGCGTGATGTGGACCTTTTCAACCTTGGTATCTACCTTGAGGACCGTGAGAACAAGCCGGCTCTCGTCCGCCCTGTCACCAAAGACCTGCTGCAGGCTCGTGAAGAGCAGGCGCGCAAGGCTTTGCAGAAGCAGCAAGAAAAGGAGAAGAAGGAACGCCTTGCTCAAGAAAAGCTTGAGAAGGGAAAGCTTAGTCACCTCGAGATGTTCAAGACTAGCGAATTCAGCGCCTGGGATGAGGAGGGTATGCCGACCAAGGATGCTGCTGGCGAACCGCTCGCGAAGAGCCGGGGCAAGAAGTTGAGGAAAGACTGGGAGCGTCAAAAGAAAGCCCACGAAGCGTGGCTTGCAAGCCAGCAGGGAAAGTGATAGAGTAGCACATAGGATAAGAAATTTTGATGCAGTTTTTCAGCGGGACTGAACTTTTCATCCTCATACATCTCTCGCAGTGAATTAGATGTCAACCCTCGAAGTGTGAAGTGATAGAAACTAGCTTGAGGCGGCTCCTACGTAACGTCTTCATTCACTAAGCCGTATGTACCACACTCCCATACTGAGAAGGTAGGTCTATCTTAGATTGTCAACTGTGATATGATTCCTCTCTTCCCCGCGTCACTTCCTAACATCCTAACAACAGTTTCATCGAGGTCATACCTGGCATCGATAAAGGTTTAATCTTCCACAGTACCGTTCCTAAAAGGCAAACCTGCAAGCACCTCATAGGTCTTTGATGCACGTTGCTTCTCATCTCTTTCCCCAATACCATCGATATTACCCCTACACCCACCGGTCACTAACAAAGGTAGTGATTAGAACGAATCCCTATCAGTGGGCACAAAGGGAGTGTAACTCCTTCAAAGACCTCAACATGCGGCTTCGTAAGATTATTTCGCCCTTTTGGACCAAGGGTAAGTCCGTCTTTTCGAAGAATATAGGCACGGTGGCTCATGACTCTTCATCAATAGCTCGAAACACAGATCTTAGGGTTCACAACGCGTCTGAGGATAAAAAGAAGCATCAACTCTGCGGACTGCCCACGGAACTGATGGACCTAATTGCTTCCTTCATGGACAAGCCTGCTTTGTGCGCGGTGCGCTTGACATGCTCAACCCTCGAGCGCGCAATTAAGTATCAATTCGGACGGATTGGCCTTCATACGCTACACACAGATCTCTCCAAGTTGAACCTGCTTGCCATGGATGAACTCGCCGAGACCTGTGGCTTGAACCAGCATGTCAAGAAGATATCCATCGGCAGCGCTACTGGGAACACTATTGGCTACGGTTTCATATGGTATCGTGACATCTTGGAGAATGAGTATCTCAACTTCCTCTATTCTTCTAATGGATTCTTGAAGTTGAGGGCCGTCTTGAAGAAGTTCCCGAATTGCCAATCGTTTCATATCTCCTTGGCCAATCAGCCCGAATCGGGTACCTGGATCGACTGTCTCAGCCCCAGTGATGCAGTGACACTCGTGCTGCATCTCATCCCGAGCATGGCAAGACCCGTCGAGTCATTCAGCTGCTCCTACCCGGACTTCGACAAACATTCGGCAGGGGTCATAGAGCCCAGGAGAGTCTGCCCCCACACCTTTCATGTTGTCCGCTTCGGCCTTTGCTGGTCCACCCTTACCGAGCTGTGCCTACTTGCGCAGGTGAAAGACGCTCTTCTGGCCGACTTTGTTTACGAGCTCATTGATCAGGCGCCCAATCTGAAGAAGCTAGACTTGGACTGTGGTGGAGGCGAAGGGGTCGACGCCTTGTTCCAACTTCTGGGACAAGAGGGCAATAACATGAAGCTGGAGGTGTTCAAACTGTCAGGCGTGGTGGGTATCTCGGGTCAGGACCTGCAGAGCTTTCTTCTCACCAACAGAAACTCTCTGCGCATCCTGGAATTGAGAACTGTTCGCTTTGACGCTGGGCTCTGGGAGACGGTCCTGGAGAGTCTGATGCGCGAGTTCCCGGTCTTGAAGGAGCTAACTTTGCTTTGGATCGCCGATAGCACGACCGGTGTACGTAATGCCTTTCTCTGCATCTATTCTCGTTGAAAGAGAAAATTTGACTGACTGCTCACAGAGATATCCGATCCATTGGGTCCACGACAATGTCAGGGATGTACGAGGTCGCCATGGTCGCATTCGTATTACCTACTCAGGTCTCCCTGTGCACAATGCTCTATACTCTCTTCTGGTACGCTATCAGATCCAGCCTCCGCAGCAGCTGTCAGTTCAAGAGGCCCAGTGAGTGCTTCTATGGCAGTCTCGGGGTGGTATGATACGCTGTTGGCGCTGTGTTGTGTTGTCTGGGGTCTGAGAGAGGCTCTAGACTCTCTTGATAACCTATATGTTATCAAGAGATCTGGATTAGAGACAAAGTTAGCTTGTGGTCATAGCTGCTTTGTAAGAAGGTGGGTTGGCTTGTACCAAATTCATCATGATAATTTAATTCGCGCCGTATTTCCTTCCTTCGGGTAATCAGAATGTAATTGATGTGGAATGGAAGCTCTTGGTGATTCTGCTCGAGCGAAGAGAAGTAGTGATTACGTGTTTAGTCCCGCAGCAAATTGTAAGCATAGCTTATCTCTGCCTCTGCATCTGCTGTGTCCCGCGTTCTTACCCAATTGAGACTTTTCCCCGCGTTTTGTTATCAGACCGCACTTCTTCCTTTCGGCATCCTCCAAGAGACATGTCTACAATTCTCTTCCTCTTTCTGTCACCACAGTGTTGATTAGCACGGTGTATAATTTTCGGTCTCTTGTCCTTTCCGACTACTTCGAACTGTTTCAGTATTCTCATTATGCAACGCTCCAAACCGCCAATCAGCCCATCGCCGCCACCCCTATCTCTTAGCATAGGGCTAGCACGGCTGTTATCTGCACCAGATAGACTACACCCATGCCTATCGGTCGTTCACACCCTGGGCTAGACACTAGTCGGCTACAAAGTGTCAGCAGATGTGGCGATAAGAAGCAGGCTAAGGCGACTATGGTCGAAGTTTCTTAAAGACCGCCAAATCTTGTTTGTGGCTCTGCCATGGCTGCTTTTCTCCCTCGTCTTCCCTTCCCCGTCACCAAGTGCTGGTCACAGCCATTCGTCCCCCAAGATGGCATCCGAGGACCTGATCGAGATTGAGAAATCCTCCAAGTCACCTTACAGCACAGCCGACCATGAGGTAGAGCAAGGTCGCCTTGATGAGTTGCATACAAAGGAGGATGACTTGGCCGACAAGGAAGTCTACGACTATGAGTCGGAACACTCACCTTTCCCCGAGGGTTCGTGAATGACCCAAGACATCATATGTCAGGTTGGGCGATATCTAACATGAGTACCATACAGTGCGCGCTGTTGTACCTGAGACAGACGACCCAAGTATGCCCGTCAGCACATTCCGAATGTGGCTCCTTGGCTTCATATTCACAATGGTGGGCTCTGGTATCAACCAATTTTTCTCGCTACGTTATCCGTCGGTACATATCGTATCCTTGGTGGCAGAGCTGCTGGCTTATCCCTGTGGTGTCTTCCTGGCTAAAGTCTTGCCGATGTGGACTATAAGTCTCGGACCATTGGGAAGCTTCTCTCTCAACCCAGACCGCCAGTTCAATATCAAGGAGCACGCACTGATCGTGATCATGAGCAATGTCTCGTTCGGCTATGGGAGTGCGGACTCTACCAACATTATTCAGGCGTCTAGCTCCCAGTTCTACAATTTTGGTCTGTCAGCTGGCTTCTCAGTCCTGGTCGTCCTTTGCGCACAGCTCCTGGGATTTGGGGTCGCCGGACTCGCTGCTCCATGGCTCGTTGAGCCAGCGAGAATCGTCTGGCCACAGGTTCTATCGAATTGCGCGATGCTCGAAACGCTTCATTCGCGTGCAAATAGCGTCGCCAATGGCTGGAAGATCTCCCGCCTCCGGTTCTTCCTCTATGTCACTGCAGCTGGCTTCGTATGGTACTTTTTCCCAGGGCTCATGTTCACTGCTCTCTCATACTTCACCTGGGTGTGTTGGATCGCACCTCGGAACAAGATTGTAAACCAGCTTTTCGGCATGCAAACCGGCCTGGGACTGAGCCCTATCACTTTCGACTGGAGTCAGGTCGCGTACAACACCAACCCTCTGCTTTCGCCAGCCTGGGCTGCAATCAACGTCTTTGCTGGATTTGCGGTCTTCTTTTGGATCGTCGTGCCGGGCATCTACTACTCTAACACATGGTACACAGCTTACCTTCCTCTCATGACAGCCGACGTCTACGACAGAACGGGTGCAGAATACAACACCACCCGCGTTATCAGCTCGCAAAACACCCTGGATGTTGAGGCATACAAGAACTATTCTCCTCCATATCTCCCAGCCACGTACGCATTTGTCTACGGGCTGTCGTTCGCATCCATCACCGCAGTCCTGACTCACATCGGAGTGTGGCATAGCAGAGAGATCTGGGCTGCTCTTAAAGGAAAGAACAAGCTGGACATCCATGCCCGTCTGATGAAGAACTACAAGAACACCCCATGGTACTGGTACGCAGCCATCATAGCGGTGATCACAGCTATCGCAATCGTCGTGGTTGAAGTCTACCATACGAAGCTCCCCGTGTATGGCGTGTTTCTTGCTCTCATCGTCCCAGCAATCTACATGATCCCCTGTGGCATCATACAGGGCATCACTAACGTAGACGCCAATCAACTAAATGTCCTGGCTGAGTTTGTTGGCGGCTACATGTTCGAGGGCAAGCCCCTTGCCAACATGCTGTTCAAGATTCTGAGCACCGATGTGGTAGGTCAAGGCGTCTACTTCGCCATGGACATGAAATTGGGCCACTATCTGAAAATCCCCCCGCGGACCCTCTTCATGGCCCAAGGACTAGCCACCATCCTCGGGGCCTTGACGCAAGCTGGCGTCACCATCTGGATGCTCGGCAACATCAAAGATATCTGTTCCTCCGATCAAGCGGACGGATTCACCTGCCCCAACGGCCGCACCGTCTACTCTTCCTCGGTGATCTGGGGTCTCGTCGGCCCGCGTCGTCTCTACTCCGTCGGCAAGATCTATTCATCCTTGCTGCATTTCTTCTGGATCGGGGCCATCGCCCCGCTCATCACATACGTCTTGTATAAGTACACCCGCAACCGCTTCTGGAAGCTGGTCAACTGGCCCCTCATTTTCGTGGGCACCTACAACGTCCCACCAGGTTAGTCTCCCCTTTCTCTCCTCAATCCCCCGAGCTCCAAGTTACCCACTCATCACCTTTTCCCCTTTTCCTACTCCTTTCTTTTCTTGTCGCACACTAATCATCTACTCTCCCACCCCCACAGCAACCGGAATCAACTACTCCAGCTGGGCCCTCGTCAACTTCATCTTCAACCACCTCATCAAACGCCGCTTCTTCGCCTGGTGGAGCAAGTACAACTACATCCTCGCCGCGGCGCTGGACACCGGCCTCGCCCTCAGCGGCATCGTCATCTTCTTCTGCATCTCCTACCCGGGCGCCGTGTTCCCCGACTGGTGGGGCAACAATGTCTACCTCAACACGGCGGACGGGGACGGGGTCCCGTGGAAGGAGATGCCGACCGCCGGGTATTTCGGGCCCGCGAATGGCACCTGGAGCTGAGAGTGGTCGGTAACGAAAGTAAATATGTAAAAGACGTGGCTGGGGATCGGGGAAATGGGGAGATGACTGGCCTGTGTATAGTACAGGATAGGTGGCTTTTCTTCGTTCAGGTATATATTGGTAGTTCAACGTATCTTGTTCCATTGGTTGGGGATTTTATCTTTGATGATGACCGTCGCAGTGAAACTTCGCGATACTCGCGATACAAGAAAGGTACTATTGTACAGTACAGTGTGGGTTGGAGATGCCAAGGAAACTGCCCGCACGATGACTCTAAAGCGTACAGAGTAAAAGAACTTGCGAGGAGATGCATTGAGACCACAAATTTCTTTATTAGATACAGATAACAGACCCGATCTTCCCACCACCGACGAGTCCTCGACGCAGTGAAAAAAAAAAGTAAAAATAAAAGGGACAAAGGGGTAAGACGAGGGGGAGGTGGAGGCAAAGAAAAAAAAGCAGACCGCGAGTAACATAAGTCCGAAATACAGCAAAAGTGGAGGAAAAAAGAGGAAAGGGATAAAGGTGTTAAGGGGAATTGTGTTAAGGGGAATTCGACTCGAATCCAACCGGCAGACCCCGAGTGCGCAAAGAGTGTGGCCAGGTGGCGAAGGATTTGGACGACAACTTCATATCGTTTTTACAAATGAAGGTGTATCGTGGATCATTTACTAGAACACGTGATTAGTCGATGGTTGCACAGAAGCCGGGAGGAGAAAAAGGAAGCTTACAGAGATCTCAGCCATGCCAAGGTCCTCACCAGCAGCAGCCTGTTGCTGCTGAGGGGCTCCGTTCGTCTGAGCGTTACCCTCAGCAGGGCCGGTGTTATCAGTGGTAGCGAAGTAGTCAACCATCTCGGCATCAAGCTCCTCGACGGTCTTGGGCTTGGGGCGGTTGGAAGTGCGGCCGTTCTTACGGGCACCACGGCGACCACGTCCCTGGGCATTAGTAGCGGCCTTGTTGGCAGTAGCAGGCTTGGGCTTGGGCTTGGTTTGACTGGACACATTGACACTTAGTCACCATCAAAAACGAACAGAAAGGATGAAAACTTACGCGACACGGTCACCAAGGGACTTGGGAGCGGCAACATCGGGCGCGTGGGAGGCATCAACGACAACCTCGATCTGGTATGTGTCAGTGCCTAGAGCTTGAGCAGAACAATAACGAAGAGCAATAATAAGACTGACCTTCATGGGTCTGCCATCGACTAGAAGGCCATTCAAGTCCTTGGCAGCCTTCGCAGCTGTATCGGGCTTGCTGAAGACGATGGATGCGATTCCACGGCTAGTACCATTCTGGTTGTAGGTGAGCATAACTCGCTTCACGGGACCTGCAGACTTTGTGAAGTATTCCTATAGCACCAGGAAAAATCGAATTAGTATATCGAATCAAGAAGTTCAGTTGCAGAACTGCGAAAGCATCGGCATGAACACAATTCGAAAGACGCATGATAACGGCCTCAGAAGCGACATCGACATCAAGAAGCATCAGCGAGCACATAGCGGCAGTTAGTTGTCAGCATGGATAGTTCTTCCGCATCTCTGCCAGAGTACGGTGCTGTAGGCAGCCGTTCGCTCGTCCACCGTAGAATCTCCAATCAACATTGTAACCCTGGCCAGCATGCCCCTCCACTCGTTTCAACCTCACAAGATGTAATGTCATCAGATGCCTGGTAAAAGGCTCCTCAAAAAGTTGACAGGACAATCCATCCAGCATGCATGTCACACATTTATCCCCCGAATTGCGAGATCCCAGAAAGGCGGCAAACGTGTAAACAGGATCCCCCAGATGCCCTCCGTAATACCCCAGTCCAAGAAATGCAAGCCATGGCTACTCTCACAATGTCCAAAGAAGAATGTATCGTGCCCAGCCAAGCACGATAGCATCGCTCGATAACACGTGGTATGATATGGCGCTCGACCACAACTCGCTCGAAGCGTTGTGTTGGATGTACTGCTGGCATGCCAATGCGCTCGCTGATGCCTGAGAATCCCGACTAGAGGTTTCATTCGAGCTTGACCAAGCGAGGAAAGAAAATGAAGGCATGCTTCGAAGGATAATCCATAACACAGTCTGCGGCTTCGACAATCCAGGAGGGACACTGAGAGCTCCGCTCTGGATTGGATGCGCCATTTGCAAGACTACGGCAGAGCTCGACTTTGATAGGCTTTCAAAGCGCGAAGGAAGATATCTGCGCCAAAAGCGTCAAAGGAGACTGCTGCCCGTGCTGATATCCACAGTTCACGACGACGATATATCCATGACGGTGGCAAGGATCGAAACGCGAGTGAAGCCGTTGCGCATCGAAGGTTTCGGAAAAGAAACATGGCGATAGAAACCCAAGGCAAAGGCCTTTCGATCAACATACCTTGATATTGGCCTCGTTCACATCGGCAGGCTGGAGGGGGGCGTTAGCTTTTGGCTTCCTGCAAAAGATTTTGGATCTAACATACCAAGCCGCTGACCATGATTTTACTTTCACGCGAGACGGGGTGTCCATTCTGAGCGACTTTGCCGGCAGGCTTAGCAGTCTTGGTGGTCTTCTTGACTCCACCGACTGGAACAGAAGCAGCGGCGGCCTTAGGGGCAGAACGGCGGTCGCGACGACGAGCACCCTGGCGGCGGCTGACGAGAATCTCGTCGAGAGACTTGTCCAACTTGCCAGACATGATTGTAGTCGATTGGGAGTTTGTCGAAGAAAGGATGAGAGATCGATCGATAGCTTTCGCAAGTCGCGAGTGTTACGCCACTGAGTTCGCGACTTTGAGGAAGCGAAGGCGATTGTTCTGGGTAAGATTTGTCCAGAAGCTGGAAGACGAGCTGAACAGTATAAGTTGACAGTGAAAACTGACGGTGGAAGAGTTTAAACCACGCACAAGTGGGGACGCGATGGATGCGGGATGATGAAGATGATAGAAGTGATGTGGCCGGGATGGGGGATGGATGGATGGATGGATGATTGAAGAAAGGGAAACACAGGCGGCGGATGAATGGAGAAGATAAGCAAGGGCGGAGGGGAGGAGGCTGAGTCACCCTAGTCCCGATCAGGTCTTTCGAGCTACCCGCTTTGGGGATTGTTGCGACACACCCATTCAAGATACAACTTGAGCTCCATTGGAACGGAATTATTTACAGTATTCTAGGGCTGGAAAATTCATCTGCTACCTTTCCATTAACAGATAGACTTAATGAGTCTCGTGAGAAAGCACTTGAATTATGTTCAGACTCTGATTATGCCAAAGCTACTCACTGCTGCCCAAACACCAGAACACAAGAAGCAACGGCCCGATGATAATGCAAATGGATAATCTCATGACATTTGTATACAACGCACATTGCCAATTGATCGAACCATAGTATTGCGCGGTATAGTAAGACAACGCAATGTATTCGAAGCTCCAGAAGCCGAGGCTTGCCCAATATCAAAATGAATAAAGCAGAGATCAAGAAATAAACGCCTGGCGCGCCCTGTCCAATCGAACGCCATCTAAGACTGGTTGAAAGTATGTAAAGAAAGAGAAATAACGAGCAGGCACATGCATTAAGCCATAATAAACCATGATGAGTAAGTCGGCGTTGTCTCTTCAGCTCTTCAGGGCTTCCAGTCTTCCTCTCATTTGTGCAAGAGTCGCTTCTTGGTCCTCGAGCTCGTCCTCGGGCTCCGGCGCTTCCTCCAAAGGCTGCTCGGGCCTGACACCCTCCACCTGGGACAGTTTGCCCTGGAGAATCTCCTGCAAGACTTTGTCCACTTCCTCCTCAGCTTCGTCCTCCTCGTCTTCGAGCAATTCATTATTCGGAATCGCATCATCCACCATTTCCTCAATGATCCCGGCGCGGACCAGTTCGGTTGACAATTGTCGCATTGTGGCCGTCAGTTCCGGCATACGGACGAGGGTGTTGACATCCTTCATGATCCCCGTCGACTTCTTCAGACTCCCTTGAATCTTGCGCACCGAGAATGCCTCATTGACCTGCATGTGGACGCTCTGCAGCTGGGCTCGGCTAGTGTGTAGCCGGGTTGACTGCTTTCGGATCCGAACAAGTTCTCGCGCAAAGGTCTTGGCTTCCATATTGGCCTGCTTCGCCTGGGAGGGGTTGCGTTGGGCTCGTCGCGATGCACTTACGATGTGCTGTCGTGTTTTGCTTTCCAGTGTCTTGAGCTGAGAGATGTCACGGTCTAATTGACGGGTATTGGCACGAATGAGCTGGTTGCATTTCCTCATCTACAATCAAGAACATGGGGTCAGGATGGAACGACCAGTTTGAACACCTGCATGTGACAATACCTGTGCCTGAGGATCGGGGCCGAAGAAGACAGCCTTGAGGGTCTCCATCTTAAAGTATTTTCAGAGTTTCCGCAGCTGAGTGAGTGCCGTGAAAGTGTACTGCAGGTGTATGTTGATGGCCGAGGGTTCTGGGTTGAGCAAGAGTGGAACAGGCGTCTATCGGGAGGAACTCGAAGGCTTATCCGAAGACCTTGGCAGCAGGGCGGGGGTATAGGAGGGAGATTTTTTGCGAGTCTCGCCGGGTCAGGCTGCAGGAAAAAAAGACAAGATTCAATTCATAGAGGGCGTCACTACCAGAATCAACAGCAGTTACCTATAAAATTATATTTGTCTGGTTGGATGTTGTTCAAGGTTGTCATTCGCATCGCTTTTGGAGTGCCTGGCACTGCCGCACTCAGTCAAGCCAGGCTTGCGTGCTGGGAATAATACGGGCGAAATCCGGCTGAGTCATCCCCGAATGCGGTGACGTCGCTGAGATAGATGCATGGGACGCCTCAGGCCACAATTAACCCTCCATAGGAGCCCAGGAGAAGGTTCCAATGCAAACCTAACAAACTCCCTGCGGGCGGGAGAGTTCCAGTACTTTCTAGCACCATATTGAGCCGATCGTCAGCTTAGAGGGAAGCGGGCTGGATTTCACCTGCTACGGCTGCTGCTCTGCTCTGCTCTGCTCTGCTCTGCTCTGCTACCTAGACGAATCCACCTTTCACTCAATCTCTCTTCTCGACTTTCCCAATCCGATCCATCTTTTCTCTACATCTCAATCTTACATATCTCTTATCTCCCCGTCTTCCATAATGTCTCTTCCTCAGGTTCACCCCGAAGGTGTGTTTCTTGTGCTCCGTCCCTCATTCCTACCTTCCCCGCTCTTGGTTTTCGTGACTCGCACGGTGGCCGGTTGTCATAAATCGCCCCGGCTTGAGCTTGACTCGAGACCAACCCTGTTGAACACCCTTCAATTTCCTCGCAAGCTCTTTATCTCGCAGTAACAATGTGCTGACCATCTCTTTTCAGTTACATGGGCCCAGCGCTCCTCGGCCACTGAGGCCGAGCGCAACTACCTTTACGTGAGCATCAAGGCTTCCGATGTTGCTCGCGACGCCGCTAGCCTTAGCATCACCCCCACCAATGTCTCTTTCTCCGGCGAGTCTAAGAAGGGCGTAAAATACCAAGTTTCTCTCGACCTTTACGCCGAGATCGACCCTGAGAACTCGAAGACAAACCACAGTGACCGTGAGGTCGAGCTGGTGTTGCGCAAGAAGGAGCTCAAGGAGGAATACTGGCCCCGTCTGCTGAAGACGACTCAGAAGGTTCACTTCCTCAAGACCGACTTTGACAAGGTATTGTGACCCCATTTGTACCTTCTCGACTGGGAAACCGTCCAGGCTGACTTGGAGCTAGTGGGTCGACGAGGACGAGCAGGATGAGGCCCCCGAGGATGACTACGCCAGCGGCTTCAATGGCATGGAAGGAGGCATGGACGGTGGCCTTGGCAACATTGATTTCTCCAAGCTTGGTGGCCTTTCCGGTCTCGGCGGCGCCGAGGCTGATGCAGGCGAGGGCGAAGATGAGGTATGCTGAATATTACCCTTCTCGACCTTGTATGTGCGCTTGCTAACACGACCATTAGGATGAGGAGATGCCGGAACTCGAGGAGGCCGGCGATAACAAGGATTCCAAGATCCAGGAGGTTGCTTAAATGCGAGAAGTTCTCGCGGGACGCGCATTGCGACTTACGGATGTGGAGAACGGAGGCATAAACGAGAACACTTATCACAATCAGCATCATTGAGCCCATCACGCTCGGTCTATCGTATAATGTTTCGATAGACTCATAGTGTGTCTAACCGGCACAAAGTCGAACGACAGGTTTAGCTAGCTTTATCAGCCTGCCCAGAGAGGTACAGAAGAGAAGGACAAGTTGGAAAGGAAGCGAATAGTTCATTATTTTTCCTTCATTGGTATGAGATGACGAAATAGCCAACGGCGCTTTTGCCAAAAAGAAGACCTTCCTCTCCGTAAATTTCCCGAATAGCCCTACAGCATGCTTAATTTTTTTCATCGATGATGTCAATAGCGCCATGGCGCCCCTCCTTCAAGTGTGGCTTTGCGACCGTAGAACAAAAGGTCATCGGGGACATCGACGGGCCAGGGACAACTGCTGGTAAAAATATCCCTATCTCGTTCCTGAGCATAACAGACCAGCTCAATGTCGGCCATGTGAAGAGATTTTTGGTGGTCAAATCCGACAAGTAATGCGCCGGTGAGGGTTCGACCGCATTTTGGCTATCCAACTCAATTGGCGGAGAGGCAGATTATGTGAAGTTGTTCCGCCACACTTGGAAACCCACACCTTGAAAATGTGGAGGAACCTGCAACCACCACTACTGCACACCAACACGGCCTTTCTTCTTGTTCCTTTGAACCTCCATCCCGGTTGTTGATTCTTATCCTTCCCAGCCACGGCGTTGTGATTTTTTTTGTCTGACCCGGTTTCGACGTCAGGCCGACTCTCATTTAGAGACACCTTTTTTTGTCTTGTCTATTGTAATTTTTACTCCCCCTCCCTCCGCTTAGCGGACTGTACCCATTTCGTCAGCCCGCTTCAGTTTCGGCTTGTCTGTGGAAGCTCCCTTCCAACTTTCCAATTCTATATTCGAGGGCGCATACGTCTCTATCTGAGCAACCGTTTTATATCTTCTCTTCTTCGTTGTCCAAAAAGAAGCGCAATCAGATAAACACCGCCCATCATGCCTCCCAAGAAAGCCGATCAGCCTAAGAAGAAGAAGGCCACCGTCGAGGACAAGGTTTGAACCCTCGTGGCCCAATGCTCATTACGTGCGTCGTAACGCTAACTATAGCGACTCCTTTGCAGACCTTTGGTATGAAAAACGTACGTGAAGTCTTTTCATGAAAACCTTCGCCTTGTTGCGCCTACCTATCGTCCAGAAAGAAAAAAAAAGAAAAAAGACCAATTCGCTGACCGGTATCTTCCCTCGCAGAAAAAAGGTGGTTCCGCCAAACGACAGATCGCCCAACTCAATGCGCAAGCGGCCTCCAACAAGAACGCCGATGAAAAGAAGAAGGAGGCCGAGAAGCTTCGCCGTGAGGCCGAGAAGAAGGCTGCCGAGCAAGCCAGAAAGGAGGCTGCCGATCTGTTCAAGCCTGTACAGGTCCAGAAGGTTCCTTTCGGTGTCGATCCGAAGACGGTTGTTTGCGTTTTCTACAAGCAGGGCAACTGTGAGAAGGGCCGCAAGTGTAAATTCAGTCACGACTTGAGCCTCGAGCGCAAGGCCGCCAAGAGAGACTTGTACACCGATTCTCGAGATGTCAAGTCTGCGGAGGAAGAAGCCAAGAAGAAGGACAACATGGAGGATTGGGACGAGGAGAAATTGCGCAAGGTCGTTATGAGCAAGCACGGAAACCCCCGGACCACGACAGACAAGGTCTGCAAATATTTCATCGAAGCGGTCGAGAACCAGAAGTATGGTTGGTTCTGGACCTGCCCCAATGGAGGCGACAAGTGCATGTACAAGCACAGCTTGCCACCAGGGTACGTTGCATTCCTCCGTCCCGCAGTACTGTACGCGCAACTGACATTCTGGCTAGATTCGTCCTGAAGACCAAGGAGCAGAAGGCGGCGGAGAAGGCTTTGATGGACAAGTCGCCGCTTAACACCCTGACACTGGAGGATTGGTTGGAGTCCGAACGCCACAAGCTCACTGGCGAGTTAACGCCTGTAACGCCCGAGACGTTCGCTAAGTGGAAGAAGGAGCGCTTGGACAAGAAGGCGGCTGAAGAGCAAGCTCAGAAGGCCAAGGAAGCCACTGGACGTACATTGTTCGAAAGCGGCAACTGGCGCGCTGATGATAGTGAGAGTGAGAGTGAGGATGAGGCCGATGGAGTGTGGAACTTGGATGCCCTGCGGCGGGAGACGGAGCGGATCCGCGAGCAGAAGGAAGAGGAGCGCCTGGCCAAGCTCAACGGTGAACCCGTGCCGGTTTCGAATGATGCACAGATCGCACAAGAAGGTGAGGGTTGATTGAGTTGGTGCGAGGCTCCCAAGTAAAACAAAAAACTTACTTGGGTGTTTGGGCTGCGGACCTCCCACATTGCAATCGGCGTACCGGGCCATCTGTCCGGGCCCGAGATGTTGATCGTGTTGATGGCTGGTGGATGCAATGCTCTTGAGTCGCAGGAAATGCTACATGAGCGTTTGTGTTGACCTCCGCAACTGGGTTTGATGGCTCTGACGGTTAACGTGAACGGATTTTCGTGTCGCCTTTGGCTCCTCCCATCTGGATACGCTGCGAAGGGTGTCGAGGTTGATTCAATGCTCAAAGCTTTGATCAGGAGGACCGTCAAGGCGGCGGAGATTACACAGGATTGAGATAGATCAATGTGTTTGCGGTGAGAGGATGACTGACATGATTTAGTATGCCATATTTGTACGTACAGTTTTCTCTCAACACAAGCCAGCGTTGTCTTTGGCCTCTCGTCGTCATTCCTAGTAGAATTATCAAGTATTAGTACCACCTGCGGAAAGAGGAGTCGTGGTAGTGTTGACTGGCACTATAACAAGGCTTCTCCGTCCGGTCTTTAGTTCCTTTCCCCTTCCCCCACCCACTCCTACGGCCGAAACAGAGTTCTTTCTTCTGAGACCTTCGGCCCTATCTATGTCATGAAACAGCTGCCGAGGTATAGATATGCACTACTATGCCGATTTGATTACCCTGAATTCGAGCCGAGCTCGCTCATCAAAACGGAAGATCTATGCACGCGTCAATGTCAAGATAACATGCGAAGATGGAGAAGCTAGACCCTGTCTCGTTAAATCCAGCTATTAATGAGCCATGGCTCTTGGCTTGTGAGCATCCGCCAATCACTGTTTGCGCTTCGACGCTGCATCATCATGGATAAGAATAACATTGCCCATTTTGGGAACCTATTTTGCTAACTGGGCTGATTGTCGGAGCGTCCACGGTCTGACGAGACTGACATTTCCTTGATCTGTCAGACCCCCATGGCGCATGTGCTTCTCACTCTCCTTTTCCCTCGATCTATCTCTTCATCGTCTCGGTTTTGAGGGACTACTTCTGCAGTCTTTCTCGCTGATATGAGTATTTGCTTTTCAAATAGGCTTCTACTGGCCTTGGTATTTGGTTTCTTCCCACTTAGTAGGTAGCAATGCCTTTCTCTCTTTTCGCTCCCAGGGTCTTGACTCGTGCTGATCTGTCATACTAGCCGTGGCTCAAGTATGCCTCCCGCCTTTGGGTGAGTACGGATACTCCTACAATGCGACCGACCAATCTGTCCTGGACGCCATCGCGAAAAATTGCACAACGATCAATGGAAGCATCGTGATCGCGACAAGCTATACCGGCTCCTTCAACCTACCCAACGTTCGCAACATCACTGGACAGATCGGCTATGGATGGGAGGGGACCCCCGCGGTACCTGCACCGACGTCGATCAGCCTTCCACATCTCGAGTACATGGGGAGCGATATGTACCTCTTGGGTATTTCGACTTTGGCAAATGTGTCCGCGCCGAAGTTGAGGACGGCCGGATGGGCGCTAAGAATGGACTATGTGCAGAACGTTGATTTGCGATCATTGGAAACCGTCAGATATGCGGAGATCTTTGGCGATGTTTCCAGGTGAGCTCGGGCTGTCTTGCGCAATTTTGAGACGATATTGTTTGTGTGCTGATGCATCCAATGCAGTCTGCGCTTAGACTCACTTTGGAATGTGTCTGGATACTTTTCTATCTGCAATAAGGATAGATGCGAGAAAAACCAGTCTTCAACCACGCCATTATATATCTCTCTTCCTTCGCTTCAATCAGTGGGTAGCATAGAAACCGCTGGAAGTTTATCGGGGTGCGCCTGTCTGCCTTCACTCTCGTGTCATACACCAGAATCGAACATTGACAGCAGCTTGTGTAGACTAGCAGTGCCGAACCTGACAACCATCAAGGAAGAAGCTAGATTTGCTGGCTTCCAGCGCGCCTCATCCAATGCATCAGCTATCAACATCACTTTTCCTCGTCTCAATAATGCGCCTACATACATGATTTTGGGAGGGAACATCTCCAGGTGAGGGTTTCTGCCTCTACCAAGAGCTTGAGGTTGATGCGGGCTAACCAATGCTTCTCCCGAGGATACTAGTCTTTCCATGCCGGAAATGCGGAACATGAGTGGATATTTTCGGGTTGATGCTGATGATTCACTAGCCATTAACCTTCCTTTCGAAGAGGCGTCGTCTATTGACTTGTACGGAGCGATTTCAAGGTCGGTCTAAACGGAGTTTTACAGCATGTACAGGAACTTAACCTCGACTAACTGCGTTGGATGAAGTGTGAAATTTCCGAAGCTGAAATCCCTTTCCAGCTTCAGCCTCCATAGCAGCCTCTCCTTGGATTGCCAATCCGTGAAGGAAACCATCACGAAGGCCAAAAATGGCTCAAAAGGCTATGTAGACTGCAGTTCGAAAGAGCACTCCAAGAAGTTAGGCACCGGGGCCATTGCCGGTATCGTGGTTGGTGTTGTGATTGGTGTCGGACTTATAATTGTCCTCGGAGCGCTCTATTACATTAAGCGGCGAAAGAGACGAGAGGAAAAGCCAATATCGAACACGGAACTCAATGGCTTCAGTCCATCATGCTACGAAGAGCCGCAGGCAATTCGAGTTCCTCCTCCGAAGTACTCTCCTCCCTTGGGAACGAGGTGAGTAGCAATGCATATGTCTGGCTGTCAACGTCGGATGTTAGCATTACTCGGATCACTTGAGACAGCATTATATATAGATGACAACTGTCGATTGGGTTTGATCTGGGAACTGTTTTTACTTTATTCTGGCCTAGAGCGCCCAGTATGGCCTGCCATGATGGGGAAGCTCTTGAAAGCGGATCTATAGATTTCTCATTCAATCTGTCTTAGCCACAATGCTGAACGTATTTCTTCAGATCTGACAGCTAAAGGGAGGAAATCAGCAGTTATTTCTTTTTCAAAATCCGATCTCGTGATGGCGCCTATGTTTCTTTGCTGCCCCAGGCTCCCTCACGCCTGGCAGGAAACCTTGCCTAATTGTCTCACTTGAGAATGTGACATCCCTGCCACTTCCCCCCTGCGCTTCATGATGGAGATATCCAACGAGGATCTAATGCTCACATTGAGGGAGACTTAATATTCAATGTCTTGCTGCAGGTTTCAGTCCTTGCTACTCCAGACTATTGACTGATCGACAGCCGATATCCCCCATCTAGCACACGCCAACAACACAATCCATCCGAATTGCATCTATCACATAAGAAGCTTCTCAGACCGACAGGCCTGCTTTTCTCGGCTTTTGCTCTTTCAACAGCATCTCACAATATGGTTCGCATGAAAACCTTGAGCACATTTGTGCTCCCAGGGCTCGCAAGTCACCTCTCCATGGTGGCAGCGGTGGGACAAACATGCGAGAACGGAGTACGCCCATACTCAGCATGGTTGGCCGATAGTGTCATCGCTCGTAAAGATGCGCTGTTGAACGCTGACACTGAAAATGATGTCGCACTCTCCTTGAAGCTTGGACTGTTCCAACTTAGCGTTATCCATCTCAAGGAGTACTACGATGCTGCATCATGTGCAAAGGAGGACTGGGATGCATATCTGAAAGAGGCTACCGATAGTATTCTGCCGACAGTGTTGAACGTGACTGGCGATATTGAAGCTCCCATGGACATATTTGCCACGGCTAACGGGCTGTACTACCAGTGAGTGTTGAACCTGCGGTTCATTCTTATCAAGACCCTGACCATTGATCTGACACAACACGGCGACGGCTACAGATATGAGAAGTCCGGCGACGAAAGTTACAAGCAAGGCCTTGATGCTCTGAGAAAGGCATACAACGGCAGGAAACGCAATTCAGAGGGTGAGACGACGTACCTGGCTGGCTTATTTCGACCCGTCAACTAATTAAATGACAGGCGGCTTCTGGTACTATAACGCCCGACCGAACCTCAGCTATTTGGATGAGACCTATCCCTTGGGCGCCTTTACTGCCGTGTACAAGAACCGCTTCGAGCCCACCAACGCCACCCTGGCTGAGAACCTCAGCAAAGACCTCAATCAATTTAAGGACCATTGTCACCACGACACCGGCCTGATGGCGCATGGCTACGACGCCTCCAAGTCAGCCCCGTGGGCGAATAAGACTACTGGGGCAAGCCCATACGTCTGGGATCGCGCCCTCGGATGGTACCACATGGGTCTTGTGGAGCTTCTCCACAATGCAGATGAATTCCCCGGCCTCCTGAATCAGACGCAACGAGACGACGCTTACAAGAAGTATTACAATCTGGCAAACACGATCATCAACGATGTAGACGAGACCACGGGGTGTTGGTGGCAGGTGATGGAGCATGGAGGGGAGCAAGGCAATTATATCGAGACGAGTGGATCGGCCATTTTCACCTACTCCATTCTCAAGGGTGTGCGGCTGGGCTATCTGACGGGTGTTCACCCCGAGAGCGGAAAAGATTACAAGCAGACGGCGGAGAAGTGCTATAGTTGGCTGCTCGAGAATCGAGTGGTCCAGGATGACAGCGGCACGTTGAGTGTGAATGGCACAGTTGGGGTCTGCACGTTAGAAGATCCGACATATGAGGTATGTTCTCACCCTTCTCTCACATTTGAGACCCCGTGACTGCTCTACGGATATGGTTGGATGAAGTACTGACTACATGCTAGTACTACACTACCCAGCCGCTGTCATATAACAGTGTGTTCGGGACGGCGCCGTTGGTGATGGCGAGCTTGGAGCATGAAATGGCTGCCAATGCGGTGAGCTCCTGACCAGTTGAGTAGCATAATCGCCAAGAGCTCGGATTACTGAGAGGCATCTGTTGGAGAAGTTATTTAATGGATGATGGTACATGTCTTTGATAAGGAAGCAGTAGGATTCAAGAGAAGCACAAGCCTACAGTGGGTTATACAAAGTTGTAGTCACATATACCAGGTTAGCATACCAGCAAGTAATCAAAGCCTGTCTAGATAATTGTGTCCCAGGAATTGAGGATGCAAAGGCCAAGTAAGGTCGAGTTTGCCTCGTACACAAAAATTCTGTGCCGACTGTAAGGATGCCATCAAACCAGTCTCTTCTTACTTCGCTAGGGGAAGCGACGCCAATGCGAGCTTTTCCGTGGTTGTGAGGACGGCCTAGGAGAGTTGAATTAGAATTCAGTATGTGTACAGTACCAAATGTGAGTGGACATTTATTGTCTATCATGCTAGAAGTAAGGACTTCATAATAAGGAGTTTTGGTGAGCATAAAGAAATTGTAAGCAGGGGATTTGGTCGTATTCAAGTCAACCAAGGTAGAAATTAAGCTCGCTCCACGGGAACTCTATCCACCGCATGGAACATCGTTCAACTCGACCGTCGTTTCCATCCCGGCCCTGACAACTCCCTTGCCTCATACGGCTAACTCAATCATCACATTACCCCTTGGATGGGAACGACCTTAACCCCTTCCAGGAACCTACTTTCTTTTGATGAGACTAAATAAATCTGGATTGGAGTTGTTCTTGGACCTTGATGTGCACTGTCTGTCTTACTCGTACGCCCAGCAAACGTGCCACTTTAAGCCCACGGACGGACGACTGAAAGACAACCCGGATATGACAACCCCAAATCAAGCTCAATGCTTGGGATTTGACATCATCACTTTGCCAGAATGGACAACGGTCTAAAATTGGTGGCTTTGTGGTCATCCATTCCGCTATTCTTGGAAAGCATCGATCCAGACCGGGACCTCGTCCCAGCAATTGAGAATAATATCGATTACCTCTCTTGGCCATTGCCACTTCCAAGATCATCTTGCTTATGCTTCTATACGAGTATACTCGTCCGGACTACTCTTTCTACGGGCCTTCCGTGTAGTCCCCTGCAGATAGAACCTGAGCTTCCGAGTGGAGCCAGTCGCTGCTTTGTGCGATTGGAAGGCCCATGTCTCAGTCAATCAATCAAAGCCTAATTATATATTGGGAGATCGGCCTGGGGTTGGTGACTTGATCTGACTGTCCGAAATCCCCGCTGAATAGTCCGAATGTCGTGAAAATGCCATGTGAAATGAGCTGTGGAACAGTGGTTTCTCACATTGTCATTCGCGAGAACCCATTGTCTCGACTCCTTCATACTCGGCCTGTCCGCCACTAGGCATCAATCATTCGGTGTATGAGAAAAGTCAAATCCACCAATGCTCTACGCGACCATGACTCGGAAATTCTTTGCAAGGGTGAAATAGGAAGGAATCTACATGGGGGGCCAATTTCCTTGGCTGGCTGGAGCTGTGGTGGTGGATGGTCCCTAACCTTGCCCCTTGCAGAAACGAAAGTTGCATGTTAGCATTCTACGGTGTTTTACAAGAATCTCCGAGTGCTAGGTAGGAGTGCCTCGTTTGTGCTTGGCTCGACTTTTCGATTTTCAATCACGGTCTATTCAGGTACGTGTTTGTTTGGATGGACACCGAGCCGAGACGGGTCAGTGTGCGTATTGATATGCATACACTTACGTCCTCGAATGATTTTCTATCCTAGCTAACTTTCGTCCTTCATTTTCCAGTTTCAAGTTTTAATCGTATATACTCAGCACTCCTCGCTCATCAACCTCATTCTTCGTGGATGATAAACTCACGGTAGTGGCCATGCTCCGAACCTTCTTGCTTCTGGGCCTGACGGGGCTCGTACAAGAAGCATTCGGCAAGAACGTGTATCTCGACTGGAATATCACATGGGTCAACGCAGCACCAAATGGTGTTGAGCGACCCATCATCGGAATCAACGGTCAATGGCCATGTCCACAGATTGACGTCCACATTGGGGACAACTTGGTGGTAGATGTCTACAACGCCCTCGGAAACCAATCCACCGGAATTCATTGGCATGGATTTCATCAGAACTACAATACCTTCATGGACGGTGTGCCTGACATAACTCAATGCCCGATCAAACCACAGCAGCGCATGCGATACGTTATTCCGGTAATGAGCTCTACTCTAACTTGGTGATTCTGGTGGCGTTACTGACACACGAAACAGGTCAATCAAACCGGAACGTATTGGTATCACTCCCACCAAGAAGGCCAGTATCCCGATGGAATCCGAGGACCGATTGTTGTTCACGACACGGCGCCATTACCTTTCCATTACGACGAGGAGATCACTGTTACACTTTCGGATTGGTACAACAGACAAATGCCTCAGCTCACGGAAGATTACGTCTATCCGGCGGACGGGCCCGCTGGACTAGAGCCGTTGCCAGATGCGGTCCTGTTCAATGATGCAGTCGGGACCAAGATTCCGGTTAAGCCCAACAAGACCTATCTCATCCACGTTGTCTGCATGGGGAACTGGGCCGGACATGCGTTCATTGTTGAGGACCACGATCTGACTGTCGTCCGAGCCGATGGAATACTCGTGGAACCGAAACTCGCGACGCCTCAATATCTTCGAATGACTGTTGGGCAGCGCCTCGATCTACTTCTAACAACAAAGAACGATACAAGCAGGAACTACGCAATCTGGGACGGCCTTGATATCGACGAGATGTTTATCCGAGAGAACCGCGAGATGCCTGAAGGATACAATGCCAACGGCACTGCATGGTTGATGTACAACGAAGATGCGCCCTTCTTACCATCCCCAGATATTCAGATTCATAACGCAAGTCTGGAGTTCTTGGACGA